TGTGTCGCTGTGGTCGTCCTTTGTGAGCGGACGTCGAAGACAGTAACATTAGTAGCATAAACATAAACATTATCATGGTGGACAATGTATAAAAATGTGTGTGTGCCACTCGCTTATATAGGGCCTTTTAACGGGGGGGGGGGGGGGGGGGTTCCAGGTGGGACTGTTACACCTGGGTTTTCCAGGTGGGGTTGTAACTTTAGAGTAATAAAGTAATAAAGGTTCAGACGACGCTTGAGAGACCCCTTCCCAGAGGATATTTTAGTGATCGCCATTACCAGGCACACATTAAGATGAATGTGTTCCGATTCATTATTTTTTTGCTACTTTCGACTTCCCCTGTTTTCGGATTCCCTGCAATGGCACTTGTGAAAGCTTCTCCTGTTATAGCTGATGTAGTTACGGTAAGTGATGTAACTATTAGTAAGTGAACAACAAATCTTTCCAGCGGATCATAGAGTATGTGAATAAGGTGGAGGCGAGAAACTACGAACATCATATCAAGGACACACTTCAAATCAATGTACCTCAACATGAGGATGAAGATCACTCGAAATATGTAGACGACGATCAAAGTCGAGATAAGAAAAATAGTACAGTTGTTGATTGGGGTGCTTTCAAACGGGAACTCAAAGCGAAATATGGCGTCCCAGAAGATCAACTCGACGGATACATGTCGACATACATGTTTAGACGCTACTTCTTTAAAAAAAAACTTCTGAACCACCTTCTGATCGAGATGAAGTATTATAAGAAAGAAGATGACTATGATTCAAGTGAATCTGAAATCTCCACGGATGAAAGCTCTGATTACGACGGCGGTGAAGACGAGTCCGATTCCAGCGACCCGAATCATGGAGACGACGATGATGAAGACGGAGCAGATAGTACAGTTGATGATAATAATGTCTATGATGATTATGATGGTTATGACGATTATGATGGTTATGATCATTATGATGAATATGATGATGGGGAGAGCCAAAACGAAGATGAACNAGAGTTGGGGTTCCAGGTGGGACTGTTACACCTGGGTTTTCCAGGTGGGGTTGTAACTTTAGAGTAATAAAGTAATAAAGGTTCAGACGACGCTTGAGAGACCCCTTCCCAGAGGATATTTTAGTGATCGCCATTACCAGGCACACATTAAGATGAATGTGTTCCGATTCATTATTTTTTTGCTACTTTCGACTTCCCCTGTTTTCGGATTCCCTGCAATGGCACTTGTGAAAGCTTCTCCTGTTATAGCTGATGTAGTTACGGTAAGTGATGTAACTATTAGTAAGTGAACAACAAATCTTTCCAGCGG